CAGGAGGGTTGGACTAGATGACCCACAGAGCTCCTTTCCAGCCCCCACCATTTTGTGATTCTGTGATCATTTTGTCACCCCTCCCTGTTTCCCGTCTAGGAGGACATGGCCGCTCACGTGGGAGCGTCCCGAACGCCCCAGGAGGTGATGGAGCACTACGTGAGCATGTATATCCACGGCAACCTGGGAAAAGCCTGCATCCCCGACACCATTCCCAACAGGGTGACAGACCACACGTGTCCCAGTGGCGGGACCCGAGCCTGACCACGCCGCTCCCGCCACTGGATATCTCGGTGGCCGAGCAGCAGCAGCTGGGATACATGCCGCTTCGGGACGACTACGAGATCGAGTACGATCAGGACGCGGAGACGCTCATCAGCGGCCTCTCGGTGAACTACGACGACGACGACGTGGAAATCGAGTTAAAAAGAGCTCACGTAGACATGTACGTGAGGAAGCTCAAGGAGAGGCAGCGGCGGAAGAACATCGCGCGGGACTATAACTTGGTGCCGGCCTTTCTGGGGAAGGATAAAAAGGACAAGGAGAAGGCTCCCAAACGGAAGATCACGAAGGAAGAGAAGGAGCTGAGGCTGAAGCTGAGGCCCCTGTACCAGTTCATGTCTTGTAAGGAGTTTGAAGACTTCTTTGAGAACATGCACAAGGAGAGGGTGCTTCGAGCAAAGATTCGGGAGCTGCAGCGGTATCGTCGGAACGGGATCACCAAAATGGAAGAGTCGGCAGAATACGAGGCCGCCAGGCATAAACGGGAAAAGAGGAAGGAGAACAAAAACATCGCCAGTTCCAAGCGAGGGAAGGAGGACGGGAAGGAAGGTGAATTTGCTGCCATTGAAAACCTGCCTGGCTTCGAGCTCCTATCGGACAGGGAAAAGGTGCTCTGCAGCTCTCTGAACTTGAGTCCTGCGCGCTACGTGACTGTGAAAACTATAATCATTAAAGACCATCTCCAAAAAAGACAAGGGATTCCTTCCAAGAGTCGCCTGCCCAGTTACTTAGATAAGGTACTGAAGAAAAGGATTTTAAACTTTCTAACAGAAAGTGGTTGGATATCCAGGGACGCTTCATGAAACTCATCAGAAGAACACCCACAGCAGAGGCCCATTGTCGCCTCACGGACTCTGTTATTTTTTCCTTCCCTCCCCAAAGATACAGAAATGATGTCACTCGGACAGCGGGAGGCAAACACGTAAACCCCCGCGGTATTCATGATCCATAGTTCAAAGAGACTTTTGCTTTGGATCATGGAAAATACTTAATTGTGAAACTTTACATTGGATTTCACTGCTTTTGGTACATTATTAGATTTCTTTCGTGTGAACTTACTCAAGTCCAGTAGTCCCAGAGTAGTTACTTTACTCCTTACTATTGGGCACGAGTATCGGTGTAATCCTTGCTTTTCTTTGAAGGTGGGAGAGAGTTTCCTTTGCTGGAAACTTAACTTCTCCCTTCATTTTGCTTTTGGCATAATGCTGGCAGCAAAGGGAAGCTTATGAGAGCCCTGAGCTCAGGAGCACACTGAGCAGGGATTTCTGTGGCCATTCCTCAGCTTTCAGAAAGTTCTCCTTAGTAACTACAGCCAAGGTGTGGGGACAGTGGGGGGAGAGCCTCCGCTGAGTATGGTGGGGACGAGCCACAGCCGGGAGGAAATGCAGCGGGTGAGAGAGATGCCTTCAGGTACCTGTGCTGTGGGAAGGGCTCTTGAAGAGAGAGCTGCCTGCGCAGCCAGCTGGCCCAGGCACGGCTTTGGCTGGAGCATTTGCCGAGACCGACCCCGCTGAGGCTTCGATGCTGACTGACTGAGTAGCCACGTTGCAGGCGTACTGGGCAGCTGTGGTGCTCTGTTCGGGAGGAGGGGTCAGCGCTACTGTGAAGTGGCCGATTTGGGCCAGAAGTGGGGTCTGGGAGAATGGGCAGCGAGTTGTCTCGCGGGGGTGGGAGCCTCAGGCAGCAGAATCGCTGTTTGTTCTTGCGGGGGGAGCCTGCTCCCCCTCCTTTGATATCTGTGACTTCTGTGGGCTGAGGCAGCGGCGCTGCCTCCTCCCGAGTTCGACTGGGAGCGACAGGGAGAGGGAGCAAGATGCTCAGACTGGGAGCGGTCGCCGAGACCAGTCTGTAAAAGTGAAATGAGGGGTGATACAGATGAGGTCAGAATGCACAGCCAGCGTGCTCCCGAAGCGCAGAGCTGTCAGTCAAGCCACTGCAGGGTTCTGATTGCACACACCTTGATATGTACTGGCTGAAACACGTCGAGGTTTCTGACCTGGCAGAACTGCGAGCGCAGCCGGCTGCCGCATGAGCTGTGCGCCCGCGGAGGTGACTTGTCACCATGCCTAACGGCTCCGGCCTGACCTGGCTGCCACGTGGTGGCACCGCCTGTAGAAGTGCCTGGCACACAGTCCTGGGTGGGTGAGATCCACTGATGAAGGGAGAGGTGTTGAAGGAGGGTGAGAACAGGATTGTCGTGCTCATTTCATCCATAAATTCCTGTGCTGGTATTGAGCTAAGTGAATAGAGAAGGGTGGTTGCCACGTGGGAGAGGGCAGGGTGTTGGTCGTGCTGAAGCCTCTCTCCTGGTCGTGTCCAGAGCAGGACGCTGTGACGGGAGGCTGGCTGGGCAGGTCTGCGGCGGAGCCAAAACCTGGAGCTCGACTGCCTGCAGAACCAGCGCAGGCGCTGGAAGCGTCCTCTTGGTGCGATGCTTTGGGCTGTAGTCGGTGAGGATACCGCGAAATCTCCACATAGTATTAGTTCTGCAGCTTGGCAGGGGCGTACTGATCGGAACGGGGTTTTAGTTCGTATATCCAGCGTTACCAAAATAGTGTTTCCAGTGAGTTTAGGATAAAAGGGGTACAATTACAAAGCCACCATTGCTAAGGAAGGAATAAACCAAAACTCTAGTGCCTTTTTCTTTTGAGCTCGTGGTGTTACGTCCCTTCAGAAAGGGTAAGGGCTATGTCCTCTCAGATGTAATGCTTTGTTCGGCTTGCCTGCAAGTGGCTCGTTGTGGAAGACTCAAGACAAAACCGTCTCCTCGGCAGCAGTGGAACTAACTGCAGTGTGCTGAGTAGCTTTAAGAGCCTCTTCCACCCTGTATGCATGTATGAGCAGCGCACAAGTTCATCAGGTTCAAACCCGTGGGTGTTTCCTCTGTCCGGCTCCTGGGGAAAGGAAGCTCGCCTGTTCTCTCTAGTAGTCTCTCGCAATTTGGTTCTTCCTGGAACTTGTCACCTAACTGCCGTAACGCACCATTGCTGACCGCGCTCTGGAGCCTCAACTCTGCGTGCAGCTGGCAGTTTAAAAGAACTGGTGGTTTTTCATTTTGGTTTTTTTTTCCCTCAAATCTGTGACTTTTCTATTTCTACACTGTTTTGGAACACCTAAGTCTAAGCAATAGTCTAAAGCCAATCTGAACAATAACTTAAAAAAAAAATTTATCTAGGCACCAATGAGTCATTTAAATGTTGAAGTGAATTCTGCATTTACACTTTGTAGTTTCTGAATTCCTCAGCCCCTCCAAAATGTTTCTTTGGTGCTAGACGTAACTTATTGAACATCAAAATGAATGTAAAATAAAGTATTTTTAATGTATGGAATAGGGATATCGATATTTATTTTATACTTGCAAGCAAATTCAAGGTGGTAAATGTTTGCTTTAGCAAATACTTGTCCCTTGGAAAGGGCTTCCCTAGAAGCAATGTCTCGTCAGCTGTGCTTTGAATTTTAAAGGTGACTTGCACTAGAGGATGCTGCTGTTCCGTATTTTCACATGGAACTGATTTAGTCTAAGCATTCCTTTGTTATGAGCTGCTGCTTTTGTTTCTTTGTTTGTTTTTAAGTTGAGATGCAGTTATCTTAATCCAGCAACTTACTAGAGCTACGCTGCTTGTCTTCTGTGGTGAAGGGGCTGAGAAAAACCATGGCAAAGAGCTCTCCAGCTTGTATCTTGTGTTGATCCGGAAGTGCTTCCTGTACTGTACAAATAACTGAGCCTTCATGTTGCTAATGAACACGTTTTATATGCTTAATGCTCTGACTTTTCTAATTCAAGAGATTACTAATGATAGTATCTGTCCTAACAGTGTTGATGTAAGCCGATGAGAAAGTGACACTCCATACGCTGTTGACAATACTGATCTGCTGCTGCTGCTAGAGGCAGCAAGTCTGTTTCAGTGCTCTGTTTACTTCCATCAGTCCAGTCCCAGTGATGTTTTATAGTAATATTTGCTCACTAGGTAACAAGGGAGCATTAATCTCCACTCTGTGTGTACTACCCAGTGCAGAAGGGCTTGTTACAGAGTGTTCTGGGTGCAGACCCTCCTGCCCTGCGTTCCATTGCAGTCCCAGCAAGCATTAAGAGCAGCGTTAGTAGGTTTGCACGAGTCTTGACCATAAACTGCCTTGTAAATCGCACAGATGAAGCACTCTGCCATTACTCTCTTGTGCGGTGGCTGCATCAAATTTCTTTGCAACTGTAATAAACTTCATTAGCCTTTTCGTTTACTATCTTTTCTTGCAGAATGGTTTTGCATGTGCCCCAGTTGCTCTTAAGTGATGCCACAATAAATACTGTGAAGGAAGGTACCTGGTGAGCATGTTCAGCTCATCATCTTCTTCCTCAAAGGGAATGTTGCACTCATTTGAACAGTGTTCTGGTGTAGCTGTGCCAGACACACAAATGCCTGTGCTGAAATCGTGTAAAACCTAACTGATGTTGTGCACACTCAGCATTTTACTAGGTTTCTGCATTGTACATTGGTAAATAAACTTGTATTAAAGTTTCTTTCCATTATGGATTTAATGGTAATGTGGCTTGCGTAATGAGGCAAATGGCTGAAGTCTTTGCAATAACAAATGGAGACAGATTTTAGTGAAATGGTGGTGGGTGGAGAAGTGGTCTCTATGAAACAGCTACACTGGAGGTACGAGTGGTAGCTTTGCTGGCTGCTCTGATGCTTAAATCTCAGAACCACCTCCCTCTGCTTTCTTCAGTGCTTCTCACTGTTGTATGGCAGAGTGCTCTTGGTGGAGACTGAAGCCTTCTGTCCTGAAAGCCTCTCTGAAAGGGCAGGCCGAGGGAAAGGAACCACTTAAATGAGATACTTGTGCTAAACGTTTAATGATAACTTGTGTTTACACGTAGCGTCGTCCAATAAAAAGACATTTTGTGTGAGGCACTGGGAAGCTCACGATCTGCTAGGGAAGAAGCCATCCCTTTGTTTCAGTGTCCTACTGGAAAAATCTTCTACACTAATTAAGTTGTTTTATTAGATTTAGTTCACGTCCAGAGGGGTTGGGTGGGGGCCAGAACGACCCATCACAGTTCTTAAGAGGCATATAAACTGACCCTGGTCCCTTCATGGCCTATCAGTTGAGCATGGGTTCCAATCAAAGTGCAACAGAACTGCTGCTCCAATCCTACTTCACACACTTACAGCGTGCTCTAACCCAGGTGGGAGGAAGTTACTTCCAAATTCAGCTTAAGTATATGGAATCCCCTTTTCTTTCCCATAGTTTTACACTCAATCTTTCCATTTTGATCCCTGTACTTGAGTAGTTTAAAAAAAAATTAACACTGCAGTTGTCTTCTCCCATGCACCAAAGATCATTCTCCCTCCCCTGCCCAGTCAAAGCACTGATCTTAAGAGCTGAGAAAGAAACAATGAATCCATAAACATGACTGACCTCCAAACAGCAGTATGCACTTAAGTGGTTCCTAGTTAACTGTCTGATTCTCGTGAGGCAAACCAGCACTGGAAAAAAAGTCTGCAACAAGTAATCACTTCTCACCATAAGCAGTGTGCAGTAAGCTGTTGGCAACTCTGTGTCTGAACCAAAAAAAATATAAATCAATACTTGATCTTAAGGTAAGAAGCTCCTTAATCCAAGACAAGCAGAAACAAGGGTGAAAAATTCACAAGTACTCACTGTTTACCAGGTCCTAATGACATGCGTAAGTTTGAAGTTTCTGTCCTGTGTGTTACATGTGTGGGCTTGGAGGACACACGAGGGCAGATGCTTTGTCAGCTGTGTGATTTGCCCCGTGCCATCCACTCCTACCCAGGTGACC